GGGGGGAAGGGACAGAGAGCACAGAATCAGCAGCCAGCCCTGCCCCGGACCCCAGCGTGGACTTTGGGAGGGGAGGAGCAGAGGATAACCTTTATCCTCCCAGGACACTCAATGGTTGGGAGGGTTGTCTCTTCAGAGTGGTCCAAGCCCCCACTCCCTCCTTGGGGAGGCCTGAAGGGACTGGAAAAGGCAGATTTCCCAAGGCCAAAGCTGTCACTTTGGCCCCTCCGAGAAGGCCCACAGAGGACCTGAAGGACCCCGGCAACTGAGCGGGGCTGAGACTGGCCACCAGGAAGTCCTCCGGGGAGCTAGATGCAGAAGAAGGCAGGCGATGGAGAACAGGGGTCTCAGTTCTTAGGGGCTTCAGATGGAGTTGGGGTGGGGCAAGGCCGGGTGAGCAGAGCAGGGGTGGCGGTGGGTCTTAGGAATCTCCAAAGGGCTCTTTGCTTTTCTTCCCAACCCTATCATCTTCCTTCAGAAATCACGATTCCTGAAACTGCTTCCCATTCCCCCCATCCCCCCCACCCCCAGCTCCATCTGCCACAACCAGGGCCTAACCACCACAACCCCTGCGCTGTTGTCATGGAAACCTGCTGTCTGTCTGCTCTCAGCCCCAGTCTGGGAAATGGGAAACCTCCCAGCATTCTTATCCAGCTGCTGCCCTGTCATGGGCTGAGGGGGTCTTTCCTGCATCCTCCTCTTTCCACAGGCTAGTAAACCGAGGCACCAGGAGAGAACTTCCCATACGGAAGAAGCTAACCGGGGCAGCAGCAGCAGGCCAGAGCCTCCGGGTTCTCACCCTACCCCTGCGCCTTCTCCCTGCACATACGCGCTTCTCCCTCTGGAGACAGGATAGAGGGCTAGGGCGCGATGCAACGTGAGCCGCACCGCGCAGGAGGGCAGAGCCCCCAGCTCCGGCCCGCGGCAACGGTGCCAAAGCGGAACGAGAAGGCGCCCCCTTCCCCTCCTGGCTCGAGCTCTGACGTCTGATGGGCAGAGCCACGGGCTGAGCCGGGCTGGGCCGAAGGTGCCAGGACGGGGCAGGAGGACCGAGCGAGCGCTCGGGGCGTGTGTGCCTGTGTGGAGGGGAGTCCCTCCCATCGGGGCCCGTCTCCCTCATCCTTCCCCGCTGCCCTCCACGTGTGCTAGCCCGGAGGCTGCACATCCACCCGCCGATTTGGTGCGGTGCCCCCTCCCTAACCAGGCCGCCTGGGACACGTGTGCGCGGGGCGGGCGAGCAGGGCACAGCCCGGGCCGGGCACGCGCACGCGGCCCCTCGGATCACGGCGGGCGGGCCTGGGGGCGCCTCTCCCCCACCCCCTCTCCTGGCCCCTGTCTGGCCCGGCCCAGGTCGCGGGACTCACCGGGCCGGATGTCCCGCAGCTCACGGTGGCGGTGGCTCCCGCCCCTGGCACCCCGGCCGCCCTCCGCGCTGGTCTAGCCGCTGTGCCGCGTAGTGCCGGGCGGTGCGGTGTGGGGCCCGGCCCTCCCCTCCTGCTCCGCCCCCGGCCCCGCCCTGCTCCCCTGCGGGGACTTGGGGGCTACCCCCGGCCACGTCCGAGAGGAGCCCTACGGGGACCCAGGGCGTCCTGGCACGGGGCGGGTCGGAGCAGCTCGAGTGGATCTACGTTTGGGGGGCGCACGTGTGGAAATCGAGCCGGGTAACGCGTGTGTGTTGAGCTCGGGGGTGGAGAGCCGATGGGCTCACAGGCGGCTTTAAAGCCCACCCACCCCCCACACCTCCCGGAGGGCCCAGCGAGGGGTCTGGGGACCACCTCGGGGCCAGCAGGGGCTCCGGGCTCCCCGTGGTGTGCAGCTGAGCTCAGCGCAGACCCTGGGAAGGGCGAGGTTCTAGGGCCAGCCCAGGGGCAGTTAGCCTGGGTCAGAGACCACTGTTTCCTGGCCGCAGCCGGACCTCCGAGGGTTCTCCAGGGCAGGCGGGAAGCACTGTGGCCTGTCATTTCCTGAGACAGCCCGGACACACTGTCTTCTTCAGTCCTCGCCAGCCCTGCAGGCCAATGGATGTAATTGTGGTCCTGCCCAGGGGCAAGCGCAGGGTTAGGGTTAGTGGGTCGGGGGATTGGGAAGAGCAATCTTTCGAGGTTCGTTTTTCCGGCGAATCAGATTCATACTCGACCTGCCATTCAAGGCCCAACACCTGGCTCCCATGAGCTCCCAGACCCCATTGTTCTGGGGGAGGGTTCCTCCCATGCTGCCCTTCCCCAGCCCTAGCCCCTTACTTTCTCATGTGCCCCTTTGCTCCCACAGTTCCCTCTGCCAGCAGTGCCCCCTGCCCCCAACTCTGGTGCTCTGGCGGAATTCTTTCCATCCTCCTTTGCCCTCAGAACTCCATCTGCGTTCCCGTTGCGTTGATCCCTGGCCGAGGGGCCTGGGAGCTTCTGGAGGACTGGCCCATGTGTCTCCCTGCAGGGTGGCTGGCCGGCCGCAGGGGCTGACAGGGATGTAGCTTCCTTTCTAACTCGGAAAAGGAGCTACTCTTCCTTGCCCCACCCCTGTCGGCACTGGTAACCTTGTGGCCTCCCGCTGGCTCCTTATTCTGCTGCTCTGGGCTATTCCTCAGTTACAAAGTTTCTAGGAGGAAAGGCCCAGTTCCACCAAGGGTGCGGCCTGGGGAAGACTTAGAGGAGCTAGGCCTGGCACAGAAGACCAGGGCCTAGGCCCCTTTCCGCATATCTTAAGGGAGCTGGAGGCCCTAGCCCGGTGGGGAGCACCAGCTGGGGGGGAGGAGTGTGCAGAGAGCCAGGTGTCAATAAACATTTATTAAGCACCTACCATGTGCCAGGCACTGAGCTAAATGCTGAGGATACAAAGGTAAAAGACAGCCCTGTCATCCCGGAGTTTCCTGTCTAAATAACTAAGTACAAAATCCAGACACGATAGAGTGCAGATAATCACCAAAGGCTTCCTGTAAGAGGGTGGGATTTTAGCTGGTCCTTGGATGCAGCCAGGGAAACCAGGAGGCAGAGATGAAAAGGGAGAGCATTCTAGGCCTGCGGGAAGAGCCAGAGGAAATGCCTGGAGGTGACTGAGGCAGGGTCTCATTCGAGGAGCAGCAAAGAGGAGGAGACCGTGTCACTGGATTAAAGAGGGTGGGTGGCATAGTATCAAAGGACCGGAAAAGGAAGAGGGGGCCAGATTTTTATGAAGGGCTTTGAACCCGAGGATTTGATATGTAGTCTTGGAGGTGACAGGCAGCCACTGGAGTTTACTGAGTAGGAGTGGGGTGCCATGGTCAGGCCCGCACTTTGGGGAAGATAATTCTGCCAACTGATGGCTAGACTGGAGGCAGGCAGGCCCAGAAGCTATTACAATAGTCCAGGCGTGAGGAGATGAGGGTCTGCAGCAGAGTGGGGGTAGGGTCAGAGAAGAGGATGTATTGGGGAGATAGTACAGAGGTGAAATGGAGAAGCCTTGGCACCATATTGAATGTGTGTGGAGGAGAGGGGGGAGGGTTAGCCTAGGTGAATGGAAGGATGGCGATACCCTCAGTAGTAATAGGGAAGTGAGGAAGAGAGACGGGACTTTTAGTGGGGAAGAGAACGAGTTCAGTTTTGGAAATCCCCTAGCCTAGCCCTACTCCACATTCCCCAGTGACGCTGGCCTCCTTGCCGTTCCTCGTTCCTCAAACAAGACGCTGTCTTCAAACACCAGCCATTTTCACTGGCTGACTTGCGTGCCTGGAATGCCCTCCCTCCCCTTCTCCAGCTCCTGGTTTCCTTTAAGTCCTGCCTTCTACAAGAAGCTTTTCCCTACCCCAGCCTTAATTATTTCCAATTTCTCCTTCCTATAACTTGTTTGTATATAGTTGTTTGCCTGTGGTCTTCCCAGTTAGACTATGGGCTCCTTGAGAGCAGGGACTGGCTTTTGCTTCCCTTTGTATCCCCAGAGCTTGGCATAGTGCCTGGTACTTAATAGGTACTTAATGTTCATGGGCTGACTGAAGATGTTTAGAGGCTGTCAGATTCGAGATGTCCAATGAGGTAGTTGGAATTGTAAGACTGAAGGTCAACAGAGAGGCTAAGGCTGGATAAACTGATCTGAGAATGAGAATCTTCATAGCAGAGGTGATCATTGAATCCAGGGGAGCTGAAGAGATCGCTAAGTCCAGACTTTACATTCACAGAGGTTGGCAAAGCACTGGCCACAGTTCTCCCTGGGCAGGAGAAGAGGATCAGATGAGAACTGTGGGACACCCACAGTTAACGAAGAGCCAGAGAAAGAGACTGAGAAGAAGCTGTCAGATGTGAGAGTGTGGGAGATATGGGCATGTTTGTAGATGGAAGGGAAGTGGCCAGGAGACTGGGAGAGATCAAAGATTAGTGAGAGAGTGTGGAATGACAAGATGGCAATCTGCTGGATGGAATGGAATTGTCTGTGCATGTGGAAGGCCTGCCTGTTGGTGTAAGAAGACATCTGGGTGATGTGAGACGAGAAGGAGGAAGAGGATGAGAACAGGGAGCTCTCAGCAAATGGCCTCCATTTTTTCTGGAAGAGATGCCATGAGTTCTGGGATAGTGAGTGAATCCAGGGTGGAAAAAGAGCGCCCAGGAGCAATGAGGGCCCCATTGAGATTATATGACATACATCTTCCAAGAATTTGCAGAAGCAGGAGGCTGGCTGGCTGTCACAGGGGTAACACCCCCCCCCCCCAGATCCAGTTTGTTTACTGGGTGACCATTCTCCCACCAGTACTGAAGAGTAGTAACAGCAGCCAGCAGGGTCCCTCTGTCCTGCCGTGTCCATTCAGCGACCGAGTGAGTCTGGCAGAAGGAAGCCTCTCTCTGTCTGGTCCCTGGGCCCCCGTTACTGGCGAGGAAATGGGGCTGGAGCAGAGCAGGAAGCTCTTTCCCCACAAGCTCTGCATGTGGGGGTAGTGATCTCCGTGGAGTGCTGAGGCCCTCGCTCCCTTCTGCAGCAGCTCCTGGGAGCCCTAGGCGGTGGCACCAGCGGGCTCTTCCTCAGAGGCCAGGCCCACTCGACGGATGGATGCTTGATACTTGTTTCGGCCCAACTCCAGGATGGCCTGGATCTCTTCCGCCACGTCCTGGCGATCGCTCCGCTCTAGAGCCTCAAGCAGCTGCTGGACGCTGCCCGGCTGCCCAGCCTGGCGTTCAGCCCAGGAGAACAGCATGTGGCGGATCTGCCCATCCAGGTCATCCCTGTGGGGGCGGGGACATGTCTCACACAGCATGGGCTCAAGCCCCCACAGTTCTGGCTGTGACCCTTCCTGTTGCCTCCTCCCTCAACCCCAAGAGGCAGGGCCAGGAAGCCACACTCGATGATGCAGGGGCCACCTCTTCCTGGAGTGTACAGGGGAAGAGGTGGTCCCTTGCTCTGGTCTCCTCCCCCTTACCTGTACAAATACTGGATGCGTTGCACCTCTGGGTAGGAGAGGCCCAGGTGCAGGGCCACGCTTTGCCAGTCTGGACCAAGCCTACTGGCCACTGTCAGAAGGTTGCTCTGGGTCAGGAAGCCACTCTCAGGGTCACCCAGGTTCAGGGAGGCCAGGGTCAGCCCATCCAGGGGACCCTGCCCTTCCCCCTGGGGTAGCCTCTGTTCAACACATAGGAAAGGGTAGATGTGACTCTCTTACCCTTAGCAGCTGCTTCTGGGCATCCCTGCCCAATAACTGTCCCTTTCGCCTCCCCCTCCCCCCATCAGGCCCCTCGGCAGCTAGAGCAGTGGACTTGGAGTCAGGATGACCCAAATTCAAATCCAGCCTCAGACATTGGTAGCTGTGTGACTCTAGCCTCTGGACTTAACCTCTGTCTGGCTAAGGAGATATTTGTAAAGCTCTTAGCACAGTGCCTGGCACACAGTAGGTACTTAATAAATGCTTGTTTCCTTCCTTTCTTCCTTGACCCCTGGCTGGCTGCACCTCCTATCATGATGAATCTTGGGCCCTGCGCTCCTCTCCACCCACCCCATGCTCACAGGCAGCTTGATGGGCAGCGTGGCAAGCCACAGGGCATCTGGGCCCTTCCGCCTCTGGACAGCCTCCTCGGGAACAGCCTCGGGCACTGCCCCTCGGTAAAAGGACACCTGAAGGGGGTAAGCCAATAATCAGCAACAATTCTGGTCCCGGCCGAGCTGCCCTAGAGGGGTAGCTGGAGATGGCTGTGAGGGGAACATGAGACGTCAGTGCCCCCTCCTCTTTCCCATCCTCCTGCCCCTGAGGTGGTCATGTGTGATACCTAGGCCCCTAGTTCTGGTCGGTATGGGGAGGGGTCCGTGTAACCTACCTGTCCCTTCACTGCCTGAGTCTTCCTGTCCACGGTGGATGTCACGTAAATCTCCTTCATATTTTTTAGGCGGGAGTAGAAGACAAAGGCAATTCTTCCTGCCACACAGTCTGGGCGATCTGCAGGGATTGACCAGAATAACCCAACAGTTCACTCCCTGAATCTTCACAACGGTCTCATGAAAGGCCAGGGCAGGACAGGGGTCAGGAAGACCTCAGTCCAAGCCTGACCTCTGACCCTTAAACTGTGTGACCCTGGGCAAGGTGCTAGATCGATGTGAACCCATTTTCTTCATCTGATAACTAGGGATAACACCACTTGTCAGGAGGCCCAAACCAGCCACTCCAGCAGGCTATAGAGCCCTGGCCTTGGAGCCAGGAAGATCTGAGTTCAGATCCTGCTTCTGACCCATTCTGGCTGTGTGACCTTGGGTAAGGCACTGAACTATTCCTGGGCAACTCTCGGTCCTGAGGAGGCGCTGATGTGCACCAGCAAATGAAGTTTCCACACCAGGGAGCACACTCCCCATGCCAGGCTGAAAACCACGATGCTGCATGCATTTCCTGAGCCTGGCTTCCAGGAGAGTGGAAGGTTCTGGAGATCTGTGGCTTGGGTTCTCCCTCCTGCCTTGCCAAGACGTCGTCTGGCACAGGAGCTGGCAAGCGGAAGGAAGTCCGCTGGGAACCTGAGCAGGGGGAGGGTCACTGTCTGGGTGTGAGCTGCACGGCAGTGCTCCATGCTCATCGGCACCAGGGAAGACCCTTACTGACGCGCAGGGACTGAGAGGAGAAAGGAGACAGGCAGGCAACGGGCCAGGGGGCTCCCTCCTTCCAGGAATGAACAGAGGAAAAAAAGGAAGGGGATCTGTGGGAGTCAGAGACACATGTTTAGGGTTAGGCGATTCTAAGGGGAAAGGGGATGAAGGAGGCCCATGGAACTCCCCGACACGGTGGAGAGCCTTCAAAGGAGCAGCAGACCAGAACGTTTTCGGTTCCTGGGGATTCCTGTGGGGACCACCAGAACTCCAGAAAACATGGCTAAACCAAAAAGAGAAACACACTTCTGATGATGGACACGGGGGCATTCCCCTCACTCCCACACACTCGGAAGGGCAAGTGGTAATGAAGATGGTGTCTGAGGCCAGGATTTGGGTTTCTGGGCCACAGCTTGGAAGCCTAAGGCACGGAGTGCATCCCCCAAGGGTCAGTAAGGATCCACTGAGTCTCCAGTATCTAAGCAAGATGGCTTTGAGCTGCAAGGGAAGGAAGAGAGAATGACCCTCACAGTCCTGGCGAGCCTGGACAGGAGCAGCAGGGGAGAGGAGTGGGAATGATCAGGAATGGAGATCCAGAAAGGAGCCGGTAAGAAAACCTCTGGCCTCGAGTGTCTGCACGCAAATGGCACCAACTCTGAAGACACTGGCCACGTAATGCCAGCCGCAGGCCCGCTGACCTCCAGGGGATGGCACTCGCGGCCAGCATCGGGCTCTGGAAGTGTGTCTGTCCTTCGTTCTACAAAGAGGAGCAGGACATCAGGGAGGTTTGATTTGAGTGAGGGGCTGTGCAAGGTCCCCAGCCTTACTGCCTCCTCCAGAGCCATCTGGGCCCACTGGCCAGATATCCATCAGGACTGGAGATGACCTCATTCAGCAGAAAACAGGAAAGAGGAAACAGGCTGGGGGGGGGGGCACGGAGGGGGGGGGGCGAATCAAACCAAGGAGGAGGATGAGAAGCGAGGCACTGGTGTCACAGGGCCTGCTTCACCCACCATGGTGGGCAGAGCAGAGACACTAATATACTTGACTCGCCTCACAAAAGGTGGGGGGACCAGCGACTCCCCCAGAGTGATCCCAGCCCCCTGGGAGGACCGGGCTGCTGAAGCCAGACTGGAAGGACCCCTGGGAAGAAGCAACGTCTCCATCGTGGAGTCTGGGTCAGCACAATAGACTTGCCTGTCCCTAGAGTTCTGGAAAGGGTGCAGAGAAAGTGCAGGCTGGGGAGGCCTAGGGGCCCTTCTCCCATTGCGCCTCAGGCTTTGTGAGGAGGGTGAGAAAGCTCCCAGGACTGCAAGTCAGACAACACGGACGATGATAAGAAATCAATCGGTGCTGACAATGATAATAGCGATGATGCCAGGACCCATTCTGGGTCCTCTGAAGGCCTGGAAGGTGATTTCCAGAGCCCGCATCTTGTTAGGGCCTCAGACAGTCCTATGAGACTGTGCTGGCGGGTGTGGGCCCCCCCCCCCCAGAGCCTGGGTGCAGGAGAAAAGCCAAGGGTGATGGGGGGGGCCTTTAAGAGGGACTCGGGGAAAGAGGATGGAAGTGGGGTCAGCCCCGCCCTCGGGCAGACGGGATGGTGACAACCCACTTAAGCTGATACCTCACTTGGGGCTGCCAGGGGCCTCTGAAGGCCCGTAGAGAAAAGCAGAGGTGCCACAGGCCTCAGAGAAGCATGTGGCTTGTCCGGTTTTCCAAAAAAAGGAAGAGGACGGTTGGTATCTCTGAAGGAGAGGCCAGTGACCTCCCCTCGACTCCCAATGCCATGTGGAAAGCAATGGGAAGACGTTGGCCAAAGGAGGCCAGCCAGCAGCCAGGCCGAGGAGGGAGGCTGTCAGGGAAACGCTAGCGATCGCCCTCCCGACGAGCTCTGGTGGAGAGGTGTAGGTCAGCCTCTGGGGCCTGCTGGTGGGAGAGCTCAAGCAGCCATTAGTGGAACGCTAGGCCAGCGCCCGCCTTCAGCCCCATGCTGTCCAGTGCATCCATCAGGGATGTGCAGGAAGGTAGACGGCAGCTTCATCAAACGTCCAGGACCCCCCAGACAACAGGAGTGGGTCCTGCTGCCCTCCGCCCTGGTCGGATCTCACCAGAAGCAGCGCTCAGTTCTGGTGCCCCACAAGCTGGCCAATGTCTGGAAGAGGGAGAGTGGGCGTTGAGGACACTGGAGATGGCCACGGGGGCCTGGCTGGCAGAGGCTCGGGTGGAAGAGGATGACCCAACGTTGTTCTGCTGCAGGATCAGGGCTCCCCTCATGGCAGCCACATGACTGAAGGGATGCCCAGTGAGCTTTTAGAAAAGGAAGCAGTGACTGCCAAGAGCTGCCTGGCCCCAGGTGCTGAGTCCCAAGATGGTAAGTCAGGGCAATGCTGGGGAGAAGAGTTGACCTATATCCTAGCAAAATGTTTTCTAAGTTAACGCTATTATTCTTTCGGAAAAGACTGAAAGGCATGGGCTGAGCCAGAAGCGTCAAAGCCTGGCTCCCCATGAGTGCAGCCCAAGTCAATGTAATCAGCATCCACGTGTGATAGGGAAACGCTGAAGGGAATTAAAAAAAAATACATGGAAACATAGATGAGGTGAATGGTGGCTTTTCTGAGGCAAAGACCCACAGAGGAGTCAGAGCCGGGGGCTGGCAGTTTAGAAGGAGGTATCCAGGGGGGTGTCCCAGGGATGTGAGTAAATCTGGGCTAATCAACATTCAAGCTGGAGGGGAAACTGAGGCCCAGAGAGGGGCAGAGACTTGCCCAACATCACACAGAAGTAAACCCAAGTCCTTGGATGCCAAATTCAGTACAATTTTCACCATAAGTACCCCTGGGGTCAGGGGCATGGTTACTTATCTTTCACGGGGGGAGCTGATGGAGAGCACAGAGGCAGAGACAACAGGTGGGAGGGAGAGGCAGGACCCGAGTGTACGCATATGTGTGGTTGGGGGTGAGGGGGTAATGTATATATGTGTATATGTGTACACATGTGATGTGCGTAGGGGTGCATGTATGTATGTATATGTGACCGTGATATGGAAATGTGTGGTGTGTGTGTGCAAAGTATATACGTGTGTATGTGTGAATGCATGCATGCATGTATATATGTGTGAATGTGAGTATATATGTATATGTATATGGTATATGTGAGCATATATGTATGTGCGTGGGGGTGCATGTATGTATGTATGTATACGTGACCGTGATATGGAAATGTGTGATGTGTGTGTGCAAAGTATATACGTGTGTACGTGTGAATGCATGCATGTATGTATATATGTGTGAATGTGAGTATATATGTATATGGTATATGTGAGCATATATGTATGTGCGTGGGGGAGCATGTGTGTGAGTGTGTATGTATATGTGACTGTGATGTGGACATATGCATGCAAAGCATATGCATGTGTACATGTGAATGCATGTATGTGTGTATGTATGTGTGAATATGAGTGTATATGTATATATGTATGGTAGATGTGAGTGTATATGTATGTGCGTGGGGGAGCATGTGTATGAGTGTGTATGCATGTATAGATGTGTGTGTATTTGTATATTCTTACCTGTGTGTGCATGTGCACATGTATGTGGGGGTGGGTTTGAACATCTGGCCTAATCCAATCGAATGCAAAGTCAGGAGCGAAAGCCCAAGGCATGTTGCTGGGGTCTCCTACCTGGCATCCCAGGCCAGGGAAAGCTCCGGGGCTTCCAGGTGGTGTCCAGGCCCTGGGTCCCTGGCGTTCCTAAGCCAAGCACAGGTGGGTCCCCAGGCCCCTGCCCCCTTCCCTGCCTTCTGGGCGTCCTCAGGATAAAAAAGCCTAGGTGCTGGGCACAGGGTCCAGGGGCAGAGCTGGCATCCACTTTGGAGCCCCCCCCCCGCCCCAGGCCCATACCAGCATCAATGTCAATCCCGCGTTCAAAGGCGGCAAAGAACTGCTCGCCCTCAAACAGCTCCACGGTGTCGGAGGGCTCGGGGCCGCGGTACCTCGGCTGCAGCCTCTTCAGGGTGGGCTCCACCTGGGGGGCACCCAGGGTCAGGGAGCCCCCGCTGATGGCCAGGCCCTGACCACTGCCCCTTCCCTGGCCCCTCTGTTACCTTCTTTCCAGGCAGGCATTGCAGCAGCACCTGCTCTGGGTCGCGCCGCCTCTGCAGGGCAATGAAGTTCACGCGGTACAGACGTAGGCGATTGTAGACCTTGCGGGCCAGGCCCTCCACGCAGCTCTTGGTGGTGTACCAGAGCCAGTACCTGAGGCCAAGGGGTTGGGCTCACAGTTGCCCTGCCCTCGCCTCTGTGGGAGGATGGCAGAGGGCTGGTGGGAAGAGAGAGGGACGGCAGACAGAGCAGTGGGGGGAGGAGGGGCAGGGATGGCAGACAGAGCTGGGGGAGAGGGATGGCAGACAGAGCTGGGGGAGGGGCAAGGATGGCAGACAGAGCTGGGGGGGGGAGGAGGGATGGCAGACAGAGCTGGGGGGGAGGTGAGGACAGATGGCAGACAGAGGTTTCCCCTAGCGGGAGAGAAGGCTGGAAGAGAAGGCCTGGGCTGGATACCCCACCTGCCCCCCCTCCCAGACACCCCGCACTAACCAGGAAAAGTGTGTGACCTGGAAACGGGCATATAGGTGTGTGAGCTCCAGAGCTACATGGGCTGTGATGTCGTCCCACGCCAGCACCTGAGGATCCCCGTGGAGCAGGTGCAAATGGGTACGGTCCAGGCTCAGGCCTGGAGGGAAGGAAGGAAGAAAAAATGGGGGAGAAGGGAGGTGGCCTGGCCAACCTGCTCCATGCCCCACAGCTCCGTCCTCCGGAGCCACACGAGGGACCTTGGCCCCGAAGCTGGAATGTAGGGGCCACCCTGGGCCAAGGGCCCACGCTCAGTAGCCAGATCTCACCTGTGAGGCCTGGGGGCAGGGGCAGCTGGACAGTGACAGGACAGAGGAAGTCCTGGGGGCTGTCCTGGGACAAGCAGAGCAGGGGGCTGACCGCAGCCTCGCTATCTGCGCCCAGAGCCCAGCCTGACACCCTCACCACCTGCAGAAGAGAGGGGTGGGAGCTGGGTGTGGGGAGCACAGGCTTTTCCCTCAGACCGTGGGCGCCTGGCCCCTGCTTTCAGTATACCTGCATGCGGACGTGCCGAGGCTCAGTGGTGACCCCGGCTGGGAAGATGACCTTGATCCCGGGGTCACCTGAGGAGCAGAGAAGCGCCCCCTCCCGAGGCACAAAGCAGCTGTCCTCCACCGGACGGGACACCACCAGGAACCAGGAAAAGTGAGGAACTCGGCAGCTGGCCCAGAGCCGCTGAAGGGGGGGGCAGGAGGGCAGGGGTCAGCCGGGGACTCACCCAGGGGCCTCAAGCCTGGCTCCCCCTCTCCCCAGGCCCCCCGACCTTGGGCTTTTCTTTTTCCTCCAAGTGTGTCTCCAGGTCCTTCCAGGTGTGGCCGCTCAGGGTCCTCACCACAACTTGGTAGCCATGCCAGGCGCGAGGGGGCACAAAAGGCAGCCAGAGGCGTACTTCCTGTCATGGCACACACCCCTCACTTTCTAGAGGGTTCTAGAGATACCGCCCCCCCCCCCCCCAGGAACACCCCCAGCCCCAAACCTGTCGGAAGGGGGTTCCGTGGGGCTGGAGCTCCAGGACGGCACTGAGCAGGGCATCATGGGGGCCCAGCCAGACGAGGCGAGGCTCCGGGGGCAGCTGCTGGTAGTGGACGGTGGTAGGGGCGCTGGTGGCACCCGGGGGAAAGAGCATGCGAACCCCACAGGCCAGGGCCACGGAGCAGCCACGGGCGGTCACTGTGAAACTGTGGAGCCCGAGTCAGGAGATGCTGGACTAGGGGGGAGGGGAGGGTGGGGCTCCCTCCCATGGCCCCCCTCCTCACCTGTCTGCATCCGAGGCCAATAGGACTCTGCGCACTTTGGGGGCTGGGTCTTCTCCTGCACCAAGTAAGTGAGCCTGTGAGTGAAGCAGCGCTGGGGGTCCCCACCCCTGCCCCCTTGGGATCTGCCCCCACCTGGGGGCGCTGCAGGGAGGGGCTCAGGCACCCCCAAAGGGTTCCCCTGCAGCCGCACGAAGGGGGCCTCCCGGATCTCGCGGGGCACGGCCCGAAGCCTGTTGTCCCTCAGGTCAAGCCGGGTGAGGAGCGGGAGGCAGGCCAGGCCGGGAGGGATGGAGACCAGGAGATTGCTGGGCAGAAGCAGAAGGCGCAGGGACTGGAGGCTGGCTGAGGGGAGCCGGAGGGGGGGGAGGTCAGTGGGAACCCCCACCCGGGGCTTCCCCAAGAACCCCCCTCCAATCCCGTCGCGGCTGGGGGCCTTGGGGGCTCTGTCCCCTCCCCCAAGTCTTCCTCACCACCTGGAGGGATCAGAGAAGGGGACAGGTGAAGGGGCTGACTCCCTGCCCCCCAGAGGGCGAGGAGGAGGAATGACCCAGGAAGCCTTCCTGTAGGTGGGGCAGGAGGGTGGGAGCATGGGAAGGACCGACCCCAATGGGTTCGTTTTCTCCTCCTTTTGCCTCTGTCTGGGTGCCCAGGAAGCTGACTGACAGAGAGGGTGTGCACACAGGTGGGGGGCTCCCTTGCTCTCACCCAGGGAGTCGGGGAGGCTCCGGAGGTGGTTGGAGGCCAGGTTGAGCTCGGTGAGGCTGCTCAGAGCCCCAATCTCTTCCGGCACCGCCTCCAGGCGGTTCTCGGAAAGGTCCAGCCGCTGCAGGGCAGTCAGAGTGGCCATGCCCAGTGGTAACTCCTGCAGGCAGTTGCTGGAGGCTGAGAGGAAGGTGAGGGCCCGCAGGGCACCCAGGGCCTCGGGCAGCCTCTCCAGGAGGTTGTGGCTGAGCAGGAGGGCGTCCAGACTGGTCATCTGGGGGACACAGGCCGGCAGCACCCTAAGGCTGTTGAAGCTTAGATCCAGATGGACGAGGTGGCCCAGGTCTCTCAGGCAGAGGGGCAGCGTGGTCAGGGAGCCCCGAAGGCACGAACCCCGATCATCACGGTGGTGCCCACCTGAGGGTGGGCGGCACGACATGGGGGGCCAGGTCAGACCCTTTGCCTCACGGGGGGGAGCACCAGGGGTGCTTCAAGGGTCAGGCCAGGAGAGATGGACAGACGGGATAAGGACAGGGGCAGGGAGAGAGGGGCCCAGAGGCAGAAAGCCTTCAACAGACAAAGAGTCAAAGAGGAAGGCAGCAAATGTGATGGAGGCAGTGAGAGGGTGAAAGGGCCTCATAGAGGCAGTGGCAGATGCCCAGGGAGCCACAGCCCGCCCGCCTGCCCTGCCCTGCCCTGCGGTACCCCCTCGGCTGGCCTCCCCCCAGCCTCCTCTGCGAGGCAGCCCTGGGGGGGCCGGCCAGAGTCAGAGGGGCTCCCGGCTCTGAGGACCAGGGAACCACAGCCCGCCCGCCTGCCCTGCCCTGCGGTACCCCCTCGGCTGGCCTCCCCCCAGCCTCCTCTGGGAGGCAGCCCCGGGGTGGCCGGCCTGAGTCAGAGGGGCTCCCGGCTCACCTCTGAGGACCAGGGAGCGCAGGGACCGGAGGCTGGGAAGGACGGCCAGGGCAGCCCCAACCTGCTCCTCGTTGCAGTTCAGCCGAAGGAACTGAATGTGCCGCAGGGGCGAGCCAGGGTCTTGGAGAAGGTGCAGCAGGAGATCACAGCCCCCGGGGTAGAGGTCCAGGTTTAGTCGGTCGCTGGCCAGAAGGGAGGCGGCTGTGTCTTCAGCATCTTCCTCTGCATCTTCTTTCTCCTCCTCCTCCCCCTGGGCCTCCATCTGATGCCTGGTGGCCCGGGCATGTCTCAGCGTGCCAGGAAGGCGGGCAGAGGCAGGGCTGGGGGTCTCCAGGGGGATGGCTGTTTGAAAAGAGAAAAAGTGAAAAAGACAGAGGCGCAGAGAGGCAGGGTCAATGTAGATTGACGGGGACAAAGGAAGGAGAAGACAGAGACAGGACAGAACAGAGATGGAGGGAGGAGACAGAGAAAGGCAAAAACAGACATGGACGTCAAGAGAGACAGGAACAGAGTGTGAGGCAGAGACAGTCTCTGTTTCTCCCACTCTTTCTCTGTCTATGCCTGTCCCTCTTTCTGTTTGAGAGACAGAGATGGAAAGGAGGGCAGAGAGAGGGGAAAGAGTCAGAAAGAAGCAGAAAGGGATAGAGAGAAGAGAGAGGGAGAGACAGAAAAGGGGGGAGAGGAGAGGGAGGAGACAGAGACAAAGAGACAGAGAGAAGGGAGAAAGGGAAGGGGAGGACAGAGGAGAGGAGGGGGGGACAAGGAGAGGGAGGAGAGACAGACAGAGAGAAAGGAGAAGGAGGGAGTGGAGGGGAGAGACAGAGGCAGGGAGAGACAGAGAAGGGGAGAGGCAGGAAAGAAAGGAGACATAGATGGAGAGATAGAAAGAGTAACAGGGACAGAGAGGAGACGGGGAGGCAGGAAGACAAAGAGTAGGAAACAGAGACAGAAAGGAGAGACAGGTAGAGACAGAGCTACAGAGAGACTGAGAAAGACAGGAGATAGGAGGGAGAAGAGAGACAGAGAGAGATGAGAGTGAAAAAGACAGAAGTAGAAACAAAGAGAAAGGAGGCAGAGAGAAGACAGTGATGGAGACAGACACACACAGAGTAGAAGACAGAGACTCAGAAGGTGTCAGAGCAAGGGAAAGAAGAGACAGGAAACAGAGCAGAAGGGCACAGTGGCCCCCATCAGTGCCCACTCCAAGAAGGGGAGGGGATGGGGGGGATCTTGAGGGTGGGATTCTGGGGGGGGGGGTTCCAGTGCTGGCCCAAGGCTAGGGAGTCATCCCAGTCTCAGCATCACTCCCAGAAGGGGGTGTCCTTGGCTTCAGGGCATCCCTAGCTTTGAGTGGGTACATAGGGTCTCTAGCCCCAGGCTCTCTCTGGGCCTCTGTCACTCTCAATGCCAGCCCAGGCCCTGAGGTCTCTCTGCAAACCAGGGGTGGGGGAGGGGGGAGGCCACTAGATCATCTTGGCCATCCGCCTGCATCCAACCAGGCCTCTCTGTCAGTGATGGGAGGACTCCAGTAGAGCCCTCGGGGAGGCATGGGAGGAGCTCTGGATAGAACACTGTTCTTGGGTCAAGGAAGACCTGAGTTCAAATCCTGCCTTAGATGCTTACTACCTGTGTGACCCTGGGTAAGTCATTTGTTCTCTCTCAGTCTTAGTTTCCTAAAATGGGGCCAATCGAAGCCTCACAGGATTGTTTTGAGGATCAAATGAGGTCAACTCTCTATCTAAAATGAGCTACACACAGTAGCTTTATTATGAATTCCCTGTCATCTTGGGCCAAATAAGGCTCAGTTTTCTTCTAAGATGAGAATAAGGGGGCTGGCACGGCCCCAGGATGGGTGAGCCACAAGTTAGGGTCCTGGGGGAGTGGGAAGACCAGCAAGGACACACCTCTGGGTAGGACACAATGCTGTGCACTCATCTGGGTCACTCATGGAAGGGGGGGGCCTGCGTCCAGTGCTGGTCACCCATGGGGGGAGGGGGCCTGTGTCCAGTGCTGGTCACCCATGGGGGGAGGGGGCCTGTGTCCAGTGCTGGTCACCCAGCTGGGCAAGCGGCGGGCACCCCGAGGGAGGGTCTGCCCTGGCCCCCAGCCCCCGGGCTGGCGGTGGGTACCTGGGGTCGGCAAGCGGCTCAGGATCCCGGAGGGGACGGAACAGGACCAGGAAGGTGGCGCTGGGATCCGCTCCCGCGCTTCCTGCCCGAGGCCCCGCCCCCAGGGAGACCCCGCCCCCGCGGGGGTGTCCCCAAAACGCCGCCCCCGCCCCCGGTTCTCGCGTCCCGGGCTCGCGTCCCCGCAAAGACCACTCGGAACTCGCCATGAGGCGCCCGAATCCCTCAGGCCCAGAGTGCGCGTGCGCACGTATATCTGTATGTGTGGGGTGGGGGAGAGAAGCGTGTCCTGGACCTCGCGGAGCCTCCAGAGGGCGCTTCTGCCCCCGCGGGCACGCCTACCTTATTGCGCCTGCGCCAGACAACCTTTCCGGCTGGGCCCCGCGAGCCACGTGCGCCTAGAGTGGGCAGACTGGCCCCACGTGCTTCCGGGACCGGGGCATGCTGGGATGGGGAGTTCGGCCGCGGTGCCAGGCATGCGCAGAGAGGAGCGCGCCGGCGTTGGTGGGCGCTAAGGTGGGGGCACCGTCACGGCGAACTGCCCGCCCCTGGGACAGCCTGTTTCTCCTCCACGGCGCCGTCTCCGGCAGGCCTGGAGCAGCCAAGAAGGCTGCGCCCCGGCTCGGTTGGGACTTGCCGCCCAAACCACGGAGCCCTGACCTCCCCCCGCGTCCTGAGGACGATGGTCCAGTCCCACCTCCCATTGGCCGATTTCTCAGTGACGTCAGCGCGCCCGGGCGGAAGAGGCGGGAGCAGCGGGCTTCCTCCCGGAGGCTCACGGGTAGAGGTTTAATCCCCGCCCCTGCGGCCGCCTCTTCCTTTCCCGGCCTTGATTCCGCCGAGGTTGGACTTGCTGCGCCCGCCGCCGCTCCCGCCGTTTCTGTAGCGCTGGGCCGCGACCATCGGACCGGACCCGAGTAGAGAGACCAGACCGTCGAGTGAGTACCGGGGCCGGGGCCGGGGCTGGGGCTGGGCGAGGCTAGGGCGGCTGGGCCTAGGCCTGGAGAAGGAGCAGCGCGCGGTGCGGCCTGCCTCGTGCCGCCCGTGGAGGGCCTGGCGTCGGGCCCGGCGTAAGGCGCGGCGGGATCGGGCTCCAGAGCCGGCCGGAATTCCTCGGGGAAGGATCCCGAGGCCAGAAAGGGAGAGTGACCGACTAGAGATCGCGGCCCGGGAGCGATGGGGGGCCGCAGGCCTTGGCGTCCCTGCGCCCCCGGGCACCTCCCTCGGCCACGGCGGGGGGCCTCCTGCGGGGTCGCTGAAGGGGTGCAGGGGAAGGGGGGGCGGAGCCGGCGCCCCTCCCCATCCCGGGGTTCCCCCCCCGCGGCCCCCTGACCTAGACTCCCGGGGTGTCGCCGCCTCTCCCCCAGAATGCGCTACGTGGCAGCCTACCTCCTGGCCGTCCTCGGCGGCAACGATTCCCCCAACTCCAAGGACCTGAAGAAGATCTTGGACAGCGTGGGCATCGAGACGGACGAGGAGCGGCTGAAGAAGGTGAGGGCTATCCTGGGGTGGAAAGCACGGGTGCGGTCAGTGCTTTTCCCGGCAGCTGCCCCGGGGGGCGGCTCTTCACTGCTGCTCTTCTTTCTCAGGTCATCAGTGAGCTGAGTGGCAAGAACATAGAAGATGTGATCGCCCAGGGTAAGACTCTGCCGGGGGGATATGCAGTGTGTGGACAGTGGTGAGGGCCGCGGAGGGAGGGTCTGTTCTTGTAGAGTAAAACACAGGCTTCCAGCGGAAAGTGATTTAGGTGCTGGGCCTCGAGACGGCTGCTTCCGGAGCACAGGCGTTGGTAGCCCTTAGCATAGTTGCACTTGAATAGGATGGCCCCGTCTGCCAAGGTTTGTCCCATCCCGGCTTGGCATAGTCCATCCTAATTCCTGCTGGTCACCACCATACCAGCCAGGTTTCGCTGGTGGACCAAAGTATAGCAGAAATCCTCTTTGGGAGCTGTGGGGCACCTGTGCCGTGGGCTCACAGCCAGCCGGGGGTCTCTAAACACAGAATTGGATTTTGATAATTAAGCAGGGGGGTGGGGCGCAAGTTGATTGGATGAGCTGATTTCAGACACTCTAGTTCTTTGAGAGAGCAGCCTTGTTCCTCAGACAGGCACATTGGTTCAGTTTCTGGATCTAAGTTATGCCCTGGGGGGGGGGTTCCTGTTGCCTGTACCTGAGGCCCAGCTTGAATTCCCAGCCACTGTGTGGCAGCAGACCACTTCTGATTGCCCACTTGCTCCTTGGGGTGAGCTGGTGGAGCTGTTACATGTCTGGGCAGATTCCAGACCCCCCAGTAGCCGCCGCCTGCTGCTGTTTGCTGACAAGGTTTCCTGGTGACACTTCCATGGAGTGTGGGCCATCTGTACAGGTGACCAGCCCTGAATGAGATTTATCAAGGTCTAACCAAACCAGGGAATCTGGGCTTTAGAAGGGGGTGCCTGTTAGATTGTTGGTTCAACTACTAGGACTTGGGGTGAAGGAGGTGCCTTGTGTGGAGAACAGCAGGGTGGCCCTGGGCAGGCCTTACGTGAAGCAGTAGACCAGCTTCCCCTTTTCTGCACGCCTGCTCACAGTGCCCTTTCCCACCTTGTGCAGGGAGCAGTAAGCTGGCCTCCATGCCCGCCGGGGGTGCTGTCGCTGTTGCTGCCAGTGCTGGCTCTGCTGCCCCGGCTGCTGGTAGTGCTGCCCCTGCTGCTGGTGAGTGTGGGCAGAGGGGCTGGCATGGGGGGCAGGCGGTGGGAAGGGGAGATGTTCAGGCTGCCTCATCACTGACTCCTTTTGTCTCTGTAGCAGAGGAGAAGAAGGAAGAGAAGAAAGAGGAGTCTGAGGAGTCCGACGACGACATGGGCTTTGGTCTTTTTGACTGAGCACTCCCTGATCCTAGAGCGAATAAACCTTTTATTTAAGAAGGCCTGGTGGCCCCCTGGTCGTCTTCTGTGCTGAGAGGCCAGGATTCGCACCTGGTGATGCCCTGAAACGTGCCCATCGCAGGCGCCAGAGACCCTGTCTATACCAAATACCCCAGTGATCCCCAGAGAAGGGCCTTTCTGCCCTGCAGACATGGCCCTGTGCCAGGGTTACCATTCACCCCTCTTGCCTCCCTCACCTCTGCTCAGACTGCCTTGTCTCTGACCCGGGGCTTGTGGCAGGGATAACCCCCATGTGAGCCCAGGAATGTAAAAACAACAGCATTGGGCAAGACTCGAGGCAGGGACAGGGCTTGGGGTTCTGCCCGGCTGTCCCGTTGCCAGGGCACAATGGGAGGGGCAGCCTCAAGTCTGAGGGGGAGGAGTGTGTGTGCAAGTGTGTGCCTTGGGTCCAGTGGGATAGGGGATCTGGGACCTTCCTCTGCCTTATGCTGCAGTCCATGGCCTTTTGTGTTGGCTCACCAGCTGAGGGAGAAGGACGTTGCTTGGGGTCCTGGCATTTCAAGTCCTGCCTGGCAGGTACAGGGTCTGCCTTAGCTCTTGTTGACGTGTGCCCATCTTCACTAATGAATGTTTCCATTTTTAGCTAGACTTTGTCTTGTAGACGGAAGTCTCAAGCGAGGACATGGTCCCTGCCAAGGCAGGCCTGGGTTTCGGTAACCATATCCTCCAGACTTCAGTCTCCATCAATGTGTGCTGAGGGGGGCTCGTCGCTCGTGGGCCTGGGAGGGCTCTTGACTTGCCTTTGCTGCCCCTGCTGGCTAACTGCTCCCACCTGCTCAGGGTTTGGGGGAAGCTAAGGCCGCCTCTGCTTTTCTCTGCCTGGTCCCTCTGGCCTTAACCCTTGTTGGAAAAGTACCTTTGTGGGCAATTATTAGGGGGGTTGAGGCAGATGGCTGGACAGGCTTCTGGTGGATCAGGGAGGACTGAGGGAATAAACACCTACTATGTGCCCGGCACTGGGCTAAGTGCCATCCAAATACTCCATTTGGTCTTCAACCTCAAACATCCTTGGGGGGAAGTAATACACTTACATTCCTTTTACAGTTGAGGAAACTGAGGCAGCTAGAGAAGTGACTTAAGGCAAGTTTGTCCATTGCCCTATGGACCAGGCCTGTGCTCAGGGAAAGCTACCTCAGTATCTTCCCAGCTCGGGAAAGCAGTTCTAGTCAGTGTCAAAGCCTAGCTTGGCTGTTCCTAGCCCAAGGCCTCACTAGTGGCTTGGGCATTCGGAGAAGTGGAGCAAGGAGCAGACTGTACCATTTGTTCCTGGATATGGAGGGTGGGGCGAGTGATGGGGGACTGAAAAATGCGTGGGTAGTGTGGAAATGAGGCCAGAGGCCCCGAATCCTGTGTTGTGCAGGTCCTGGTAGGACCCCTGCCCTCTGGCCCTCTTTAAGTAGGGGAGAGGAGCTGGCACCCCAGTCACTGGCCTGGCCTTCTGGGGACACAGTCCATTCTCCCATGCCCTGGCCATGTCCCATTTCATGACCACAGAGTTAAGACCTCTGGTCAGCTGGTGCCCAATGGGTTTGGGGGCAGGGGCTGTACCTCTGAACTGGCTGGCTGCCTGGAAGTGGCGGTGAACTGGGACAGCAACACAGCCTCAAGGCGGCAGCTTTTGTCACATCTCCATCCTGGCCTTCCCTAATCCCCTCAGTTTGGCCACACAGCCAGCAGGCCCTATCCCACCTCATAAACCCACTGTTCCCAGGGTAGGAGAGGGCACCGGGCTGTCCTCGATTGACGGCATCCTTCCTGCTTAGCAGAACAGTCACCCTGCCTGAGTCATGGGGAAGGAATCAAGGCTGGGTGCCAATGTAAATAGGTAGAGAGGCAGAAGGGCAAGTAGGAAGACTCAGGAGTCAGGTAGGTGGGCAGCACGAAGAGCCCTCTGTCCCGTCCATCAGCTCGAGAAGGCCCAGCACCCAGACTGCTAGGATTAGTGGACCTCGGGTCCAGGGGCTGGGAAGGAGGGTGATGACAGCGGAGGTGCGGCAGAGGTGCAAGGTGTAATTGGGGGTGGGGTGGGGTGGGGCTGGGGAGTCGGAAGACCGCCGATTGGCCAGAAGTCACTGCCTTGGCCTCTCAGTCTGGGCCCAAACAGAACCTGGTGACCCAGGCAACAGACAAAGCCGGCCTGAGGCCTGGAGCCCGCCTAGGTTCAGGTGTGTGGGTGATCGGGACGTGTCTGTCGGCCTATCCCCGGTGGGGAGTCGGGGGGAGCGGGGTCTGGAGGCCTCTGGGTGTCTTGTCACGTGCGGCAGGATCCAGGGCTGTGTTTGTACGCCCTGTGTCAAGCCCATCCTTGGGTGCCTGTTTTCGGGCAGGGCCGGTGTTTGTGTGTGTCCCCGGGGACGCTCGGAGGGCAGCGGCCGCTTCCCAGAAGCGCTCCTCCTGAAGGGGCGGTGGGGCCACAGCAGGCTGGCCATTGGGTCCCCCGGCGCTTGGGACTCCGCCCCCAGGCCCGGGCTCCGGGCCGTCAGGGAGAGGCGGAGCCCGGGGGGAGGGGCACCGGGCCCAGACCCGCCCCTCGGCCCACTCTCATAACACCGCCTCCTTCGCGCAGCCGGCACTGCTGTCTCCGCCTCCCCGGGAGCAGAGCGCAGCGCGCCGGCGGAGCTGGCCAGCGTCATCAGCTGGCCTTCAGCAGCCAGCCCCGTGCGCCCAGCCCCGCGGCCCCGGGCCCCCCGGGCCGGCCGGCCGCGCGATGTTCCCCAAGGAGACGGCTTGGAACATCTCGTTCGCCGGCTGCGGCTTCCTGGGCGTCTACCACATCGGCGTGGCTAGCTGCCTTCGCGAGCACGCACCCTTCCTGGTGGCCAATGCCCGCCGCATCTACGGCGCGTCGGCGGGCGCGCTTACCGCCACCGCGCTGGTCACCGGCGCCTGTCTGGGTGAGTGTGGCCGGCCTGGCTCCCAGGCGGGGTGTCCCCCGAGATGTCCTCCGGGCCCAGCCGCGAGCTTCGGCCCTGACGGGACGCTCCGTCCCGGAGCCCGAGGGCCTGTTAGTGGCCCGGCCCGCGGAGGGGCGGGGCCCGTGCTTGTTTTCCTCGGAGGGTGCGGGCGGAGCCTGCTTGGGACCGGCCTGTTCGGGGTAGGGGCCGGGAGAGAAGGGCTGGGAGGGGAGGAAAAGAGCTGTGACTTCTGGAAACAGTCAAACGGCCCCAGGAATGTGGAAGCCCTCGATGGGGGGCTGGGGGGTGGGGGTCAGAGGAGTGCCCGGGACCCGCCCTGCCTCTAGGTCCTCCCTCCCCCATCAACCTTCTTGGGGCTCGGGTTCTACCCTCCACCGCCCCACCCCCCACCTCAGCGCCTCATTCTGGGCTCTTTGGGGTTGTCCCAGGATGCCTGCCGAGGCAGAGGAAGATGGTGCTCCAGCCTCTAGTAAATACCCCTGGTCTTGCTCATGGGCTCCAGCCCATGGGACAGAGAGACTTCCAGAAGTTCTTGAGTTTGGGCCCTTGCCTCAGTTTCCCCTATGAAACCCAAGCAGGAAGTCCCTGACCCCAGGCAGGGTCTGCCCCTTCTGGCTGGCATGACCAGGCCCCACTCATTCAAGGCTCTGCCTTTGCTGGAGCCTCTGTCCCAGCACACAGACCTCCCTCCTCCAGAGAAAAGTCAATCTCACTGGTGCTGATGAGCTCAGCTTCTGCACTGGGCCTCGGAACTGCCCACGAAGTCCTTCCTTTTGGGCACAACCAGTAGGAGCTCGGCCCTGGATCACAGCCACAGGGGGTCTAATGTGATGGTACCTCCTTTCACAGTTAGGGAAACTGAGTCAGGTCCAGGATGACTGACTCCTGGATTCTCAGGCTGATGCCACATGGAAAGGCAGAAACTGCAGGCACCCCCCCCCCCCATTTCTATCCCCGTTTGCCGCCTTGTAACCCCTGCAGCTGGCTGGGGTGATAGTGGAATTTGTAGAGGGCTCAGGGGTTCCATGGGCCCCTCTGGCTTTAGGAGGCCTTTCTCACTAATGGCTAGGGGTCGGAGTCTGACGGCCTCTGTCCTCTGTCCTGGTCCCTGAGGGTTAGGGGTCAAGGAATCCTAGGATGCATGGGGTACCTCTGCCAAGGCTCTTGATGGTACAGGGGGCCATGAGCAGCTGTTTTCCTGAGACCTATCCCTGACCCCGCCCCTCCCCCCCAGAAGCGGGAGGGTTGAGGGCTCATCAGCCCAGCCAAACTGGTGCCTCCCCCTCCCCCATATATAGAGGGGTCCAGGACCTGCTTGACTGAAGGGTGGGGCCACCTTCCCCACAGGCCCCAGCTGCTCTGGCCACCTCTGTTCCCAGTCTGGTGACCTTTGCCTCTTCCCAACTCAGTTCCGGAGTCCTGGGGATGGGGAGCCTTCACTAGGCCTGACTTTCCCGTCCCACAAAGGGCCCCCTCAGCTCGGTGGAGGGCGGTTGGCAGACAGGGAGGGGAAGGGAGCCGTTCCCCGGGTCCCAGCCTGCTTGATGGAGGGCAAGGGTGGGGTGGGGGGGGTTCCTGTGGTTGTTCAGCCCAATTTCAGCCTTGCCAGGGCCTCTGTCCTCAAGCCTCCCTTTGTGATCTTGGGCAAGGCCTTCTATTGTCAGCTTCAGTTTTATCATTTGCAAAATGGGGCTGATACTGGCATTCAGAAATAGGACTTGGGGTATAGCAGGAATCCTTCCCCCCGAATCTGTCGGGTTGGGAGGCCAAGGCCAGCAGGTTGAATAGGGCTTAGGCTCGGCCCTGCCCATTCAGGGTGAAAGGGGACTCACTTTACACAGCATGCATGGTTAGGTGACTTGCCCAGGGTCACACAGTGAGTAGGTGTCTGAGGCTGGATTTGAACTCAGCTCCTTCTGACTCCAGGACAGTGCTCTATCCACTCTGACCTGAGACTCTGTTTCCTAGCCCCCTGAGGTGGGAGGAGAGACGTTCTCGCCCCCAGGCCAGGTGCCCTTCCCCAATTCCTCCTCCCTGCTGCTTACTGGGGGGCGGGGGGGCTTGTGTAAAGTGATGCCACCCCCAGTTTCTGCAGTGCTTGGGAGGGGTGAGGGTTCTGAAGGCAGGAGGCCAGGTCCTGGCTGGTTTGTGCCAGGGCCCCTGGGGAGATTCTCTGAGGCTCATCCTTGATGCCCCCCCCAGCCCGCTCTGGGAGGACGATGCGGATTGGAGCCCTCTCCTGCTTCTTCCCCTCGATCCCTTTGGGTCCTGCCCAGAAGAACCCCAGTCATGATTCGGGCTGAGACGGAAAGCCTGAAGGGGCTTTGGAGGGATCTTGTGGAACCCTCCCCTTTTAGAGGTGGGTGAAGTGAGGCCAGAATGGGGAAAGGACCAGCTGGCCAGCTGCTAATCAGATCTCACTCTCAGATGGGAGAGGGACCATCCCTGAGATTTCATTGATCGAGAAATCCCAGAGGTGGAAAGTCCCTTTGCCAGTGCCAGTGGGCACCTCCTCTGGCCCTCATCACTTCAGTGTCCCACAGCTGCCAAGCCCCCAGGGCGAAGTTAGGGATAGAGCCAGCCAGACGAGAGCTCAGATCACCCCGGCCCTGGGGGCCATCTCCTGCTCAGATGGCATAGGAAACACTGCCCGTGTGTGAGCTGAGACAAACCAGGTCACTGCTTGCAGAGCCCCCGAAAGCAGTTCACAGAGCCCTTTCCTTGACCAGCTTTGGTGGGGGAGTGGAGAGAGGAGGGAGGAGGGGGAGGGAGGAGGAGAGGAGAAAGAGAAAGAGGGAGAGAGAGGGAGAGGAAAGAAGAGAAGAGAGAGGAGAGAAAGGAGAAAGAGAGGG